ATCTGGCTCACCACCAAAACAGAGCAACTACACCGCACTGCAGCACTGCGCAAAGAGTGGAGTCAGAGCGATCGACCATTCACCATCACAACAGTCTTTGAACTGAGCAGAGTTGCCGGCATGGAGGTCTGGGATCCCCCCGTCCCCCTCCCTGGGAGGGGGGGGGGGTTGCGCAGATGGATGGGCAGCGTTTGTGGTGACGTCATACTTGTTTCCTTGGTTTTGATTGGGGAGTTCTGTTGCTAGTTTGACTTTCGGTTTGCAAATTATTTGATCAGCAGTAGTTTGTTTTGGAATTCCTACCTTTCTGGGTGCCTGACCTGGTAGATGGCAGACAAAGACTGCTTCCAATTACACGGGGGTGTCTTTAGGCCATTGCTCCTCGTGCCTCTCTTGAGGGTGCCAAGTTCTGGCTCTGGTCCCTGGTAGGCCTAGAACTCCTTTGATTGACTGTTGCCAAGGTCTAATATATACACATCAGCCCGGTATAGCTCCGGGGAGCCGAAGGAGCTCTCCACAGAAATAAGCATGGATTTAGAAATGGAAAATTGTCTGACAAACTTGATTGAGTTTTATGACAAAGTTACTAAAATAAGACAGGAAAAGGAAGGCTGAGTAGAAAGGAAGACATGTCTAGACTGTCAAAAAGGCCTTTGACACAGTTCTCCATGAAAGACTGTTGTACAAGATGAAGAACCAGGCTGGGATAACCGGGATCAACACTGGACTGGGTAAGGGAGTACCTGAAGGACAAAAAACAAAGAGTCACAGTCAGAGAGGAGGTTTCGAGGTGGGGAAATGTAACATGTGGGGTCCCCACAAGGCTCTGTTTTTGAACCATTGCTGTTAACCTGGTTACCTGGCTGATACCTGGTTGATGGAGTTTTGAGAGTTCTTCTACTCCACAAGCTCAGCCCGGGACCAAGCTTGATTTGTGTGAATTTGGTCCACCAGGCTGTTGCTTGCAGTGGCTCGCAGGCCCAAATATCCACCACAGCCCGATTGGTCCGACACTCCTTAGAGAAACTGATCTTGTTTTCTCTTGAAGATGTCCACGGTTGTTCCGGCTATATTTCTTATGCTCGCTGGGAGGATGTTGAACAACCGTGGACCTCTGATGTTTATACAGTGTTCTCTGATTGTCCCTATGGCACCCCTGCTCTTCACTGGTTCTATTCTGCATTTTCTTCCATATCGTTCACTCCAGTATGTTGTTATTTTACTGTGTAAATTTGGTACTTGGCCCTTCAGTATCTTCCACATGTATATCATTTGATGTTGACCAATCCACATACTAGAAAATGAAGGGACGATGACGTTTCGGTCCATCCTGGACCATTCTCAAATTGATTGTTGATTCCCAATCGACTTGAGAATGGTCCAGGACGGACCGAAACGTCGTCGTCCGTTCATTTTCTAGTGTGTGGATTGGTCAACATCCTTCAGCCACGTTATTGTGACTCATCGCCTGTATATCATTTGATATCTCTCTCGTCTTCTTTCTAGTGAGTACATTTGGAGAGCTTTCAGACAATCCCAATAATTTAGGTGCTTTATTGCATCTATGTATGCCATATGTGTTCTCTGTATTCCCTCTATTTCAGCAATCTCGCCTGCTCTGAAGGGGAAGTGAGTACTGAGCAGTACTCAAGACGTGACATCACAAGTGATTTGTATAGTACAACCATTGTGATGAGATCCCTGGATTTGAAAGTTCTCGTAATCCAACCGATCATTTTTCTGGCTGACGCAATATTTGCTTGGTTATGTTCCCCAAACATTAGGGCGTCAGACATCATTATTCCCAAATCCTTCACATGCTGCTTTCCTACTATGGGCACATTTGATTGTGTTTTGTACCCTGTATTATGTTTAAGGTCCTTATTTTTACCATACCTAAGTACCTGGAATTTATCACTTAAACATCATGTTATTTTCTGTTGCCCAGTCGAAAACTTTATTAATATCTGCTTGAAGTTTTTCAATGTCTTCACCCGAGGTAATTTTCATACGGATTTTTGTGTCATCTGCAAAGGATGATACGAAGCTGTGACTTGTATTTTTGTCTATATCTGATATGAGAATAAGGAAAAGCAGTGGTGCAAGGACTGTACCCTGAGGTACAGAGCTTTTAACTGTGCTTGGACTCGATTTTATATGATTGACTGTTACTTGTTGAGTCCTGTTTGACAGAAAACTGAGTATCCAGCGTCCTACTTTACCGGTTATTCCCATTGACCTCATTTTGTGTACTATCACTCCATGGTCACATTTATCGAAAGCCTTTAGGAAGTCCGTGTATACCACATCAGCATTCTGTTTTTCTTCTAATGCCTCAGTGACTTTGTCGTAGTGATCAAGTAGCTGTGAGAGGCATGATCTTCCCGCTCAAAATCCATGTTGGCCTGGGTTGTGAAGGTCATTGGTCTCCATGAAATTGGTGACCTGACTCCTAATCACTCTCTCAAATACTTTTATTATGTGGGATGTTAGTGCAACTGGTCTATAATTCTTTGCCAATGCTTTGCTCCTTCCCTTGTGTAGAGGGGCTATGTCTGCTACTTTAAGTGCATCTGGTATCTTCCCTGTGTCCAAGCTCTTTCTCCACACTATACTGAGTGCCTGTGCTACTGGCACCTTGTATTTTTTTTATAAATATTTAATTCCATGAATCTGGACCCGGAGCTAAGTGCATGGGCATGTTTTCAATTTCTCTTTCAAAATCTAGTATGCTCGTGTTAATATCAGTTATATTTACAGGGTTTTGGATATCACACATAAAAAAATTGTCTGGATCTTCCACTTTCATGTTGTCTATTGGAGTGCTAAACATGTCCTCATACTGCTTTTTTAAAATTTCACTAATTTCTTTGTCATCCTCCGTGTATGAACATTCACTCGTACGAATAGGTCCAATACTGGCAGTGGTTTTTGCTTTAGATTTCGCATATGTGAAGAAGTATTTTGGATTTTTCTTTATTTTCTTAATTGTTTTCTGTTCTAACTGCCTTCTTCAGTTTGATATGAGTGTTTCAATTTCCGCTCGATTTCTTCAATCTCCCTATTTAAATTATTCCTTCTTTGACGGGAAAGTCGTGTTTGCTTAAGCATTTTAATTATTTTTTCCTTCTTTTATAGTGTCGTCTGCGATCTCTTTCTACGTTGGACCTTTTTCTGGCTTTCCTCAAAGGAACATGTTTCAGACTTGATACGCTTCCGAAGTCAGTTTTTCAATTCCTTCTATAGGACTTGCATTAATTAGAACAGTTTCCCATGGAATGTTTGTAAGTTCCCTGTTTATATTCTCCCAGTCTATCCTTTTATTATTAAAATTGAATTTACTGAATAACCCTTCTCGCTTGATCAACATTTTAGGTCTATTCTGAGTACTGATGGTAGTTTGCACTTCAATGAGGTTGTGATCTGAGTATGTGGTATCTGATATCGTAATGTTCCTGATTATGTCTTCAGTTTGTAAAGACCAGATCTAGGATATATTCATTTCTCGTTGGCTCTGATATCTGCAAACTGAGTGAAAATTTGTCACAGAATCTAAGTAGTTCTCTAATCTGTGGTTGGTTAGGTCCCGATAGATTTCCGGGTATAATATTATTGTTTGCTATTCTCCATCTTAGACTAGGCAAGTTGAAGTCACCTAGGAAGATAATATTAGGTATCAGGTTCTCCAAATTATCAAGGCTAATCTCTATTTTGTTCTTAATTTATGTGAATGACCTGCCCGAGGGGATGAGCTCAGACATGTCAATGTTTGCAAATAATGCAAAGTTGATGAAGAATGTGAAAACAGATGAGAACTGCAGAAAATTACAGGAAGACCTTGATAAACTCCAGAGTGGTCAGATAAATGGTTGCTAGAATTCAACCCCAACAAGTGTAAGGTAATGAGGATGGGAAAGGGAGTGAGGAGACCAGAAGGCATCTACACCATATAAGGAAGGAAGCTACAGAAAGAGAGAGAAGGATCTGGGAGTGGATAGAATTCCGACACTCACATCAGAGGTTTACACAAACACAATAACATCAGCAGCATATGGAACACTGGCAAATATAAGAACATCATTTAGGAACCTGAATCAGGATTCGTCAAAGGAATCTACACAACATGTGTTTTACCAATACTTTAACACTCATCACACCGGTATGGAAATTGGACCTTGTTAAATATAATGCCAAATTTGAAAAAGTACAGAGGTTTGCCACAAGATTGGTGCTAGAGTTTAAGAGTTAACAGGCCACAGTGAAGGACTGAGAACAGGAGATGCTGCTTTACCCACAGGGTTATAAATTCATGGAACTGCCTACCTGCCAAAGTCATAAATGCAAAAATATTGCTGCAATTCAAAATCCTGATGGATAAAATCATCAGGGCAAATGGGGGACCGTTAACAAGGAACTGGCTTTCTGACCTCGTTGAGGGAGCCGGTCGGCCGAGCGGACAGCACGCTGGACTTGTGATCCTGTGGTCCTGGGTTCGATCCCAGGCGCCGGCGAGAAACAATGGGCAGAGTTTCTTTCACCCTATGCCCCTGTTACCTAGCAGTAAAATAGGTACCTGGGAGTTAGTCAGCTGTCACGGGCTGCTTCCTGGGGGTGGAGGCCTGGTCGAGGACCGGGTTGCGGGGACACTAAAAAGCCCCGAAATCATCTCAAGATAACCTCAAGATAGACCACTAGTGAGATGATGGACCTCAGGTAAATTCAGATAAATATACAACAAAACTGTGATTAATTTTAAGACTTCCTGAAAAGCTACACTAGTAAAGTCCCTAAAGGACTTTACTAGTGTTCTCCTCTGGTCACTTATGCAGTACATGTACATTAAACACCAATTCTGTAATAGTATATGTAGAGAATGCTTCTACAAATAATTTTCTGCAAAATATTTGTAAAGTTTTCCAGCAGTTACATGCACATATGAGTTAATTTATATGCAAGTCAATGCATAACTTTAAAAACAACAAACTACAAAAACAACTTACCGTTGAGGCCAACAAAGCCTTGGGCAGTCTCCAAGTCATCAAGAGGACCCATAAATGCTCCAACAAGAAAGTCAACTTGTGCTCCAATCAGCACAAACAGTAGGCCCATCTGCACCTGTAAAGCCATAGTTAAAATGCATTAACTTCTTGCATAATTGTATACTTTTTCTTATTCAGGAATACAGAGCTGCGAGCTTTAACCCATACACTGTGAACCTGTTTTTTTATGACAAATCTGTGGTGCTCAAGAAAAATACAGGGGTACCTCGGTTTAAGAATTTAATCCATTCTTGGAGATGGTTTGTAACCCAAAAATTCGTAAACCAAAGCGAATTTCCCCATAAGAAATAATGGAAAATGAATTAATCTGTTCCTGACTCCCCAAAAACATCACTTTAAAGTAAATTTTATACCTAATTCACCCAAATCTACACTACAAAAGTATGTTTCAAGTTATTACCCTTGCTGATGACTCCTGTTGACGTATGGAAGATGGTGAGGAGGGGGGGGGGAGGAGGAGAGGTGTTACTGTTTGGAAGGGGAATCCCCCTTCCATTATAACATCAGGCAGTGAAGATTTCCCTGGAGTGCACTCTTTGGCACGTTTTGCCTGCATACCACTAGATCCTGGTTGTGGCTCACTGCTTGATTTTCTCACTTTTCTCACAAGGAAACGTTCCATTGAAGGTTGTTTTTCCCTTCTTTGCAACACTTGTCTGTAGTGAGGCATCACATTGTCATTGAAAAGATTAATGCAACAACCTACTACAGCTTTATCTGGGTGAGTTTTTTCAGCAAAACTTTGCAGTCCTTCCCATACTGCACACATTTTCTTAATTAATGAGGAAAGGACATTCTCTACTGCCTCCTCTTCCTCCCCTGAAGATTTGTTGTACTGCCTAGCTAGTTCAACAACACGAGTATCATTTTCATGCTTACGAGTGATCTCTTGTTTTTCCTCTATGATCATTCTCACATGTGATTTCTTGCCTTGAACCTTACCACTGGCTTTCTTGGGACCCATGGCGAGATATATAATAACAACTTTTATGCTCAAATGGCCAAAAATCCAACAAAAAATTGTAAATTCTTGTGAAGAATTCAGGCGGGATAGTCACTGGGTGCAAGGCACTGGTAAACTGAGGCGCGATCGCCGTGCCACCACGTGCTAGGTCAGCCATATGCATATCAACAAACTCAGATCCCGATGCAAAGTTCGTATCCAGATTCAAATTTTCTGAACAAATCGGGTTGGTTACCCGAAAAGTTTGTAAACAGGGACATTCGTAACTCGAGGTACCACTGTATAAGAATACTGTACAAAATAATAATAATAATAATAATAATAATAATAATAATAAGTAATAGTTATGTCTTCTTACAGACATAATCACATATAGGATAAAAACCCACATTTGTGTATTTGTAAAACTTATGTAAGGAATTTACACCAAGTATTTTGCACTCTCCTGAGTGCTTTGTCAAGGTCTGCCACCTACAACACCCTGACCAGTAAGTAAGTCGTCTAAGAACGATTCAGTACAGCACATTATCATTTGAGATTTCCATATTTGGGATGGAGGCACCAACATTGTTTGGCGTAACTCCCCCAGTTTCCCCTTATATGGGTCCATTCCATGCACCGCCCCTCGCCTCCCTCCTTCCGAGGGAAAGAGAGAGAGAGAGGGCAGTCCGGAATGGCACGGATGTCTCTCCTTTAGACTCCAGTCTTTGACAGTCCCAATGCCAGCCATACATGGTACACGTACACAATACGTACACAATGTACAATACATATATTGTGTACGTACATACACAACGTATTATATGTATATTGTGTATGTACATACACAATGTACTATGCATACACAATGTATACCCCAGCTGGCCCCAAGGGAGAGGTAAATGCCAAGCAGCAAAAACCCCTACGGAAATGGTTCCCGAACGCACCAGGGAAGAGAACCCTAACACATAAGGGCAGTACTCACAGGGCACCAAGGGAAGGATGCCCCTAGGCGCATGTAGCCCCGGTACTCTTGAGGACACCTGGCCACCACACACAACAATACCGCAGAAGTCATCTTAAGGTTATCTTGAGATGATTTCGGGGTTAGCGTCCCCGCGGCCTGTCCTCCTTTTTGTTACACGCTCCCCAGGAAGCAGCCCATAGAAGCTGTCTAACTCCCAGGTACCTATTTACTGCTAGATAACAGGAGCACCAGGGTGAAAGAAACATTTTGCCCATTTGTCTCCTCCTCCACCGGAGAATGAACCCGGAACCTCAGGACTACAAATCCGAAGCACAGTCCACCCAGTTGTCAGGCGCTCCAGGTCACCACAAAGGCAAAACACCACCTTGGAATTTGAGGCTAGAAAAGATGTCCACCCTGGATCACATTAGCAAACAAACTGGAGTGATAGGTGGCTGTCGCAGGGAAGTCTAGGGCTCCACCCTCCTCCTCTCGGGGAGGGGAGGGCTGTGCGGACAAGTGACGCAGAGGTGGAGTGTGACGTTTGCTTGTTTGCTTGTTTCCTTGGGATTGGAGGAAGTTTTGCCTCTCATTTAGTTTTTTCATTGTAATTTTCTTACCATGTGGGAGTTTGTTTTGTTATGCCCACCTTTCTGGGTGCGTAACCCCGGTTGATGGCAGATAAGAAAAAAACCCAACCACTGGGGGGATTTCCAGGCCCACTGCTCCCTGCACTTTTCTTAGGGGTCAGGTTCTGGCTCGTGGTCCCCGGTAGGCTGAACTCCATAGACTCATGCCCCGGTCTAAAGTATCACATATTAGCCCGATAGCTCCAGGGTAGGGGCTCCCCACCGAAAAAAACACTAAACTCTTTGTGCCTAATCAACCAAATACATACCTGTAAAGCTATGTTACACTCCCTTATCCACTGGGGCACCTTACCTATTATTCCTGCCAGTTTCTCCAACTTTTGCAACACTCTTATGACTATGTGTAATTACCTAAGGCCTAGACCTAAGACCAAGTCCTAGGCATTGAAAATGAAGAAATTGTAGAATGAAAATTATCTACTGTCTTTACTCTTTCACTGTGGCAGGACTAGTAACAACACAATGTCAAGATGAGGAAGCAGGAGGACAGCATCACATGTTTAGTGCTCTGGGTGGACATGACAGCTACATGGCTCAGGGACAAGCCAAACAAGGCTAGCTCAGAAAGATATAAGATCTACAATCTTTTCTCATTCTACTTGCATAAACTTACAGTTACTCTTATAACTATTTCACACAAACCTGAAATTACATAAACATGAATAAAACAAATAAGACAGACTAACTCTAAGTGCTTAAGTGGTAATCTACTTGTTTCTGTCTCTAAGAATTTATAAAGATTAAAATTCATCTATCAAAGATTATTACTGAAAACATATATAAACTCACCCTTGTGACCCAGTCCATCCCAACAATAGCTAGGGCGAGTACGCCAATCAAAGTGATGGTGCCAACAAGTCGTGTGTCATTAACTCCACCATCAAAGATTACAGCACCATTGAAGTAATCTTTCATCATATCCTGATAAAGAAAACAATTAGCATAGTGTTTTGTCCTATGTAAATAATAAATAAATAAATGTTTATTTAGGTAAGGTACATACATACAAGAGATTTTACAAAGTTTGTTGGATTAATAGATAGAGCTGGTACATACAATGCCTAAAGCCACTATTACGCAAAGCGTTTCGGGCATGTAAATGAGAGTGAAGTGGAAGTGATAGAAAACCATAATTGTTAACAGTTGAAAATAAATATGAGTACAGGGTAAAACAAATAATTTACAATTTACAAATAATTTACAATTTAAATGGCAGTTAAACAAGTAATTTAATCATCAGGATAATTTTTTGGGTCATATATATATATAGTACAGTAACATTTGGTGGTGAGCTGAATATATGGCAATACAGTGCAGTATAAAATATATGAACTTCATGTGGTACTTGAGTGCTTTATTTAAGTTCAGCACTCTCTGTTGATGAGTTTCTTCAGCAGCCTGTTGAATGAGAAGCAGGGGCGATGCTGTATGGCTTTGCCACTATGGCTGTAAGTGTTTGCTGTGCTTGGAAACTCATATATTTCCTGTTTCCCTTCATCTGCAAGATAAGCCTACCCATTGGCTTCAGTTCCTGGGAAGTAACATACTTCTTTGATGGAGAGATAATGATAACATGGGAGGTTCAGTGAGACTCAGCTAAATCCCTTGGCTAGTCAGGATAACAGGCCTAGCTGGAATTTGGTCAGGAAGGCATTGGAGGGTTGGCATTCCTATAGATCCCTGGGTTGCCATTCAGACTTCCCTGGTTATGTGCATCTACTTGATACCTATGGGTATTGCCTTGAGTTCTTAGGCCACCCATTGTTAGGCTTACTAGGTGATGGGTGTGCAGGGAAATGAAAAGTAATGCAACATACTCGTGCCTGAGCTTCTAAGGCTCATTTGAAAATCCAGTTCAATAAAATCATCAAGACAAATTGGGGACTTTTGACAAGCCACCGGCTTCCTGTCCATGTCGAGGTCATTATGAAGATAGTGGCCTTTAGATAAATTCAGTTATCAGGTGACCAGGCCCATGACTAAGGCAATTTTGGAAGATGTGCTCCCTCCTCTCTCAGAGGAGAGGAGCACATCTTGACTTGGCTCTCCCCCAAACTCCCTATTTATTCTCTTTCTCCTTCTGCAACGTTTGTGGTGGTGGTGGTTACTACTTTTTTCACCCAGTGTAATAAACTCTTCATTCTTTACAAATTCTTCATAGGCCTTAATGATGGCAGCATATACCCCTACACTACTCCTGAGAGTCCATGGCACCATACTCACCCTTGGTTCCACTTTCATATCTCACACGTTCCTATGTTTAATGGCCCTAGAGTATTTTAATCTTTTACATTTTATGGTGATCATAATCCATCACTGGCTCTTCCAAATCTTCACCAGATACAAGACAACCAAGTCTTACTGCATTTCAAGCCAAACCAGTGCGAGGTATTTTGCAGTTCCTTTCTCATTTTATTTACTATACAGTCTCTTCGAAGGTAGGCAAAGAAGTCATCATCCTGGAACTTTGTGGGTTTATAGAAGAGTATTCCATCTAAGAATATAGTTGTCAAATGCAGAGGTGAGCGTCTCTCTTATCTGGATTTGATCAATTATACTCTCTACTGTAGTTAGCACAAGAGCTATAATAATAATAATAATAATAATAATAATAATAATAATAATAATAATAATAATAATAATAATAATAATAATAATACCTGTATCAGGTTTTTCAGCACATACCTTATACAGAACTCATACTTCATATGGCAAGTTGAAGACATTTATATTGAGTATAGGGGCTTTTGAAAATAATAGCTTCTGAAATCATAGAGAGGTTTATTTCTATAGACTTAAGCTTAGAGATATAATATATATCTGGAGCATAGTTGTAATTTGTAAACACTATTGAACAAGGACTTTACAAAATATTACTACTCCCACAAAACTTGGACTTAATTAACAAACAAGATTATCCACTCGATTTAACAACCTCTTATTTAGCGTTCCACCCGGTTCCAACGACTGGTTTTGGAGACCGGTATCTGGAGCCTCATATACTGGTCAGGCCTGGTAGAGCCAGGAGTTATCTTCAGTACTCGGGCTGCATGCGCCTAGGGCTGCCTTCCCTAGGTGCCCTGTAAGTACTGCCCTTATTAGGGCTTGGGGCCACCTTCCACAGGCTCCTCGGGATCTGCCTCTGCTGGTCCGTTTTACCTTTCAGTTTTTCGGCCGCCTGTTGGGCTCTTCGGTGTTCTGTTCTCCCTTGTTACCGGCAGGTAAGAGGCAGTTTGCACTGGTAGGGGCGCAGGGTGCTGCTCAGCTTGTATTCCCGACATCGCGGCCGGCTCTGTTCCTTGGGGTTCGCTGTCCTCTTGCGGGGTTTTGTTTTTCTTTTTCTTTTTGCCTGGTGGGGAGTTCTGTCATTTTATTCAGTTTGTTTTTGCCCTTCCACTGTTCTCCTCGGTGGCGCCCCCTGCTAGGTCCCCGTGAGTGTACACGTCCCTGGGGTTCAGCTATATTAGTTTGCTTGGTAGTTTTTGGCGCCGGTTTGCAGCACCCTGCCTGGGACTACCTGAGCATGAGTCCTCTTTAAGTAAACGCTCAGGACCCTGGGAATCCCCTAGGGGGCACGTGGGTCCGATGGATGTGACCCCTGAGTCCCCACTCGCTGTGTGCGAGTTTGAGGGTTGCTCGGTCCCCTTGTCTCAGGGTGACCCTCATTGTTTTTGCCTCTGCCTCGCTGCCTGTTGGGTCGTGATACTTTCGACCCTGAGTCCTGTGAATGTTGCTGCTTGCTTGTGACTCAATTTACCCAATCCTCTGATGATTCTCTTCGGGTACAGGCGGCGCGTGCGTTGCAGTCTAGGTTTCGTCTGTTGCAACGCGCTCACCCGGATGCTCACCCGGATGCCGCGGGGCTGCCTCGCTTTGCTTTTCGAGACCCGGACTTGGGGATGGGGGTCGCTTCGATCCTGGTTCTTTTCGCACCTCCTCGTCCTTCCCCTTCTGTTCGTTCTGGTCCCCCCCCCCCTGCTTCCAGCCCCGAAGCGTCTGAGGGTTTCGGGGTCAGAGCAGGGGTTACTTGATCTTGAGACTCGGGGAGCTACGGGGGGTGCCCCTTCCGGGGGGGGAGGGGGCGGCAGAGACATTCGAGTCTTGTCTCCCGGTCGAAGCTTCTGGGTCTGACCAGTGGGCCCCCCTTCCTCCAGCTTTTCCGGCTGCTACATCCTTGTCTTGTGGGGTCGGGGCTTGGGAAGAGGACTCGGCCTCGAGTCCTGTGTTGAAGGACCTCGAGGCTGGGGAGGGGCTGACTTGGGGGCCTTGGGCCCCGCTGGACCCCGCCTGGGTTTTTCTTCCCTCTGAGCGGGGCTTATTGTTACAAGGAGTGGGGTTTTCTTTTCCCCCCCTCTGCGTACGAGTTGGATTTGGTGTCGGCCCCTCCCCGGGTTCAGTTCCGTGTTCCCCCGGGTATGTCAGTTCCGTCCTTCCGGAGGTTTTCGGCTTATCGCATCCAACCTGGTGTGGTGCGAGCAGCCTTTGCAGCTTACCTCCTGTGTGACCCGGATTATGCCTCGGAAATGGATCCGTCCGAATTCAGGTTTGGGACTTCGTTACCTTTCTGGCTCCATTACGAGGTTCCGGAGTCGTCCTGGCTAGCAGACTGCCCCTTGTTTGTTCTGGATTCCTGGCATTACTTCTGTCGTTCCCGCACGCTGGAGTGGAAGGAAGCTTCCACGGTGCTTCAGGTTTTCCTGGGGGGCGAGCTTGAGTACCTGAATGAGTGCTTGTTTGCCCCTGCCCTTCCCCGCGATGTGGGCGTTATTCAGCTCCATGTGCAGGTTCCCACCCTTTCGGCGGCGCTCGTTGCGGAGGACTTGCACGCCCGGGGTCTTTTGGCTTCGGCCTTGCGGTTCTTTTCCCTCCTGGAGCTGTCTTCGAATTAGCTCGTGGAGGATGTGAGGACGCTTGGGTCCGTCCCAGGGTCCGGCACCTTGTCCTCGGGTGCGTGTTCGTCGGCTGCCTTGTTGAAGCTGTTCATGCCAATTTTGCGGGATGCGGTTTCCCTGTTTTATGTTTCCCGTCTCGCGTGTCGGCAGATGGTGCTGGGTTCCTCCATGGAATCTGCTTGGGCTCTGGCTCTTAGGCGTTTTTCACCTTTTTGTCCTCTTCTGTTTGAGGAGTCTGCCGTGGAGCAGTTTATTCAGGCTGCGTCGGCGGCTTGTTGTCCGATGTCGGACTTGTTGGTTTTCCGGGGGTCCCGGGGTGGGTCTTCCCGGAAAGGTCGTGCCAGGGCTTAAACTTACCAGGGGAGAGTTGTCCTTCTGGCCCCTTGGTGGCCGGCCCAGCCTTGGTTTCAGGCACTGGTTGCTGGGTGTCCGAACCCGAGGGCTTTCCCGCGGCTCCGCCTCTTTCAGCAGATCGGGCCGGTACGTCACGTGGCTGGTTCAATCTTCTCCTCGAGTCTTCGCGTATGGGTTTTTTGACTCGAGTCTATCATCATCTCTATGGTGATCAGGTGGCCTCCTTGTTGGTGTCCCACCTGAGGGCTTCTTCTCGGCGGCAGTATGAAGTTTCCTGGCGGTCCTTCTGTTTCTTTTTGCGTCTTCGTCGTGTTAGTTCCTTGTCTGTTCGGGTGGTCTTGTCCTTCCTCTCGTGGTTGTTTCAGGACCGTCATCTTATGCCTAACACTGTCGCCTCATATCGTGTGGCGCTGGCGGAGCCGCTTCAGCTTGCTTTCGGTATCGATGTTACGTCTGCGCCGTTTCGCAAGCTGTCTCGTGCATTGTTTCACCTCCGGCCTGCTCATGCGTCGCCCGAGCCGTCATGGTCTTTGGACAGAGTGCTCGCTTTCCTTTCGTCTCCTAGTTTCGTTGTGGCCCCTTCGGTCCAGGATTGTTTTTCCAAGGCACTTTTCTTGTTGGCTTTGGCCTCTGGGGGTCGGGTAGGGGAGCTTCATGCTCTCCTCTGGAGGGGTC